CCCGGCGTTACGTCACAAAATAAAGCTCTCTGATTCGCTGAAAATGTTTAAAATTTCAAAAAAACGCCGATTGGCTGGCTGAGATTTCCCAGCGAATCAGAGAGCTTTATTTTGTGACGTAACGCCGGGAGCAGTCATCCCGCATAGTTTTGACAAATTGAGCCATTTTCCTCGGAATTTTCGCAAAATTAACTAATTTAAAAGTGATGAGAGAACAAAAAAACACAATGTAGAAGTACTAAAGTTATTTCTTACCATAGTGAGTTAGTTTTTTTAATGAATTTCGATGTTTATGTACGAGTTTTTTCGTCATTAAATTTTTGTATACAGTTTTAAATTTGTATTTAGTTGCCAACCTTGGGGATATATACTACATAAAGACGCAACGCTAATGTGATGTTACACGTACTTCGTGTAACACAAAGTATAGAGGTTTTACTGTACATTGAAGCATTGCATGTCAAAGCATTGCATTTTAAAGCAAATTGTATGGATTTTATTAAAAAATAAAAGACCTTTTCGGGAGACCTATGGTGAGATTTTCAAACAAATCCTGTTATATTAAAATATTACACTATCAAAAAGGTGTCAAGCGAAGAAAAAAGTTTGACTTTGTAAGAAATAAATCAGTTGCAGAGAGGCCAAAATCCTGTGAAATTGTTAACTCAAGACAAAATTTTTCTCATGTATTTTTATATACACGTGTTGTATTAAAACCAGCAAAATAAAATTCCGTTACAATATAGCAATATAGTCCTGAGATAATGAGATTGTACTCTCTCTTCTGGGGAAATAAATAGCAATTGATGTGGTACATACCTTGCTTGATTTAATCTTTAAGTATTCCTGCGTTGAGAAGTAATAAATATTCAAATATTCCGGAGATAAAGAAGCAAACGATTTGAATATTCGCAAATATGAAATATCATATCAAATATGGCGACAGGCAAGAGTCCGGTCCGCGGTGCACAAAGCATGTTGGTACTATTTTTTACCGAACTCGAAGCGAGCTGTTTCGATTATGTCCTTTTATGGACATCGTCGTGTTTCGTTTCATAAACCGTTGGTTATTGTTCGTTCTTTGGCGCACAATATCTATAAATTTTGAATTCGAATCGCATTCAACGGCGTACATCAGCGTTATAATAGCTATACTATGGCAAATATTTGTGAGGACAGTGCTTGGATATGAATAATGAACATGAATATTAAATATTTAACAAAATCAAAGCTAAACAGTCGATTCTGTCGAAATATCAAATCGAAGGGAAGAGCGTTGAATTGCTGCCAAGGTCCAGATCATGGTAAAGATAGTGCGAATTTCAGGTTGGTAGATTTGTTTGAACGTTTGAAGCTCAAGCGGTCCCAAGAATATTGTTTACATTTTTAAAATACATATCCCTTCTTGTCTATGTTTTAACTGTACAACATAGGAATGATCATCACTTCTAGTCTTCAATATTCAGTAAATTTTTCTAGATTATTTTACTCTGTCTGCAGAGTGCAGGCGCTCAACGGGTTGACCAGACTATTTCCCCATCTGTCTATTAATTCAAGCAAAAAAGGTTTAAATGTTTATATATTTTGCAACAGCAGTTCATATATTTCACATAGTTTACAGATACAATAAAAGTACATAAGGCCCCTGTACATAAGCCCCCTGTACATAAGCCCCCTGTACATAAGCCCCCATCAAAAAATCTTTACGAACGAATATAAGCCCAGGGCATATATTCGGAGGTTCACGGTATGCCATTCTATATCTGATTCTCTTGTGTTCTTTGATTGGCAGTATTCCAGTAAGAATTGTAATGGTGTCTGTCCATTCTTTTAGATTGATGTAAACCAAATGATATATCACTTTTGCATGCTGTAGTACATCAAACACAAAAGAACCGGGTTTAACCATAGAGGGTTCAGACCGCCTGATAAAGGAGATTGACAGTAGCACAGCTATACAAGAAGGTATATAATCAGTACCATGTAATGTTTTGTGAAGATAAACTCTTTTGATGTATTACATCGCTGCTGTGGGACTGGTTTATCTGCAGTGGTTTGCATGTTACTGGGTCCAAATGCATTGTCGTAGGAAAATTGCCTAAAGCAATAGTTATAGGGCAGAAGAACTCTTAAAACTGAATTTAGTTGTTACTATACCGTACTGTAATGTTCGTGGTTTTGTATCAATATCAAGCACTTTTAAGTATAACAATAGATATCAAACAACTTGTACAAACAGCATAGTACGTATCCAATTACTTCCCGGTTCCTTTATTTGATTTTGGTTGCCGCACCAAAACTAAATCACTTTTCTTGATGTCAGCACACTTAACTCTTCTTTTGGAATCAGCATATTCTTTTTGGTTCTTTTTCAACCTTTCATCTCTCTCCTTCCCCTCTTGATGAAGTGAAGAATCATTTTCGACTGTCACTTGAGGTAATTTTGTTTGAATCTTACGGTTGTATAGCAACTCGGACGGTGACTTGCCAGTGGTGGAATGTGGGGTAGCTCTGTAGTTGAGTAAAAATTTAAACATTTCACGTTTCCAGTCTTTGTTTTCATGATGGGCAGATTTCACAGCCTTTCCAAGTGGTTTCATAAAGTTCTCGGCTTGTCCATTTCCTTGGGGCCATAATGGTGAGCTTGGTTTATGTTTAATTCCGAGTTCTTTCAAGTACAGACTAAATTCGTGGCTCTGGAATGGTGGACCGTTATAACTCTTTAACACCTTTGGAATACCATGTGTGGCAAAAATTCGTTCAAGTTCAATATTGTTGATTTTGCAGATGTTGAACTTACAATTTCCACCTCTGGAAATCGTGAATATGCATCAATAATCACTAACAGATATGAACCACCTAGAAATGGTCCACAAAAATCAATGTTCACTGTATGCCAGGGTTGGGGAGGCAGCGTCGTCATTCGCAGTGGTTGTTGGTGACTGTTTGGTCCATTTGCCTGACATAACAAACAAGTATCCACTGTGTGCTTAGCAAGCTTGTCTATACCTGGATACCAAACCTTTTCTCGCAACAACTGTTTAGTTTTTACTAGCCCTTGGTGGCCTTCATGAGCAATTTGAACAGCCTTTAGTCTAAGGCTTTCTGGAAGCACAATTCGCGAGCCTCGTAATATAATTCCATCATGCTCGTTTAGTGTAAGTTCTGTTTTAATTTTCTCACATGCTTTCAAGTCCAAAACCTTTACATTGGGATTGGATTGTACGTCTAGAGAGTCTATTAAATGCCATTTACCTGTTGTGATGAGGTTGCTTAGGATCTGTAATGTTGAATCAGCCACGGTGGCTTGTTGTATTTCAGGCAGAGTCATTGCAGCATGTTGGGTAAGGAAACAAACATAATTGTCAGCCATTGTTTGGAACTGTCTGTCATCAGTGGTGTTGTTAACAGGTAAATGTCGAGATAGGAAATCTGATGGATTGTCAAGTCCCTTTGTATACCTTACATTAAAGTCATAATCTTGCAAGCGTAAATTCCATCTCTCAATTCTGGCTGGAGGTCTTGATTGTGGATTATTTAAAATCAACTCGACTGGTTTGCAATCAGTTATCAGAGTAAAATGTCCTCCGTATAGATAGATATGTAAACGTTCAATTGCCCACACAATTGCAAGAGCTTCTCGCTCTGTTTGACAGTATCGTCTCTCAACATCCGACAGCGAACGACTGATATATGCAACAACTTTTCGTTGGTCTGATCCTGGGACTTTCTGTGTCAGAATAGCTGAGAGACCAAAAGGTTATGCATCAGTGATAAGTTCTGTTTCCTTGGTTTGATCAAAATATGCCATAACTGTTGCACTTGTGAGGGCAGATTTTACTGCGTTGAAGGATTTAGCATGCCTAGATGTCCAGCAAAAAGGCACATTTTTTCTCGTTAGTTCTCGCAAAGGTACTGTGAGATAACTGAAATTAGGGATAAATTTCGCACAATATGTCACCATCCCAAGGAAACTCCGAACAGCTTTAATTGAATTTGGAGGTAGGCAGTTGTGAATTGCTGAAACCTTCGCTGGATCCGGTGAAATACCATCACCTGAGAAGACAAAACCAAAAAATGTGAGCTGCGATTGACTGAACTCACATTTGTCTTTGTTGAAGGTTAATCCAATGAGTGAAAACCGCTCAAAAATTTTATGAAGAGCTTTGTCATGCTCAGCTTGGGTTATGCCAAAGATAATTATGTCATCACTAATGTTGATGGCATTCGGAATGTCACGGATTTGTTCGCTAATTACATGTTGGAAGATTTCACTTGCCGAATTGGTGCCAAAATTCAACTTCTTATAGCGGTAGAGTCCTTTGTGCGTTACAAATGTGGTTATGTGTCGACTTTCCTCAGCGAGAGATAACTGGTGGTATCCCGAGCGAAGATCAAGCTTTGTAAATATGGTGGCGCCGTTTAATTTGTGAATTAAATCATCCACAGTTGGGATCGGATGTCTTTCGCGTTGAATTGCCTGATTAGCCATGCGCATATCAATGCATATCCCGATCTCACCATCTTTCTTTGGGATAACAACTAATGGACTGACCCAAGGAGTGGCATCTGATACTTTTTCAATAATTCCATCACTTTCTAACGTGTCGAGCGCATCTGAGACCTTTTGCCGCATGTGGAAAGGAATACGACGGGGGGTTTGTGCTACTGGAGGGACAGTATCATCAATGTGCAATTTAACTTCAAAATTTTTAAGAGTGCCAATTCCGTTGAACAAATTGGCATACTCTTTCATCAGTTGTTCATGGGTGGCATGTTCCGGTTTCACATTGTTAACATTCAGCATGATCAGACCCAAAGCAGATGCCGTTTGATAGCTTAGCAAACAACCAAAATTTCCTTTGATAACATGAACTTGCGTGGTTGTTGCACCAGTCAAACATTCTAGAGCTGCACGAAATTGTCCCATAACAGGTAGCTTGTTTGTAGCTCCATATGCAAAAATACGTGTTTTGGAACGTTGAAGGGCTATGGGTCTCTTAATCGATGATGTCGATGGAAGCACCAGTGTCGATAACCATGTTGATAGGGGTTGTGTTGACCGAGATTTGAACCTGTGGAGTTGTTTTGTCTCTACATGTCGGTTTCAGAGTAAAAATGAATTCATCCTCGCTACTGCTTTCACTGCTGGAGGGTTTGCCATAAATCTTGTGAACTTTGTTTTTGTGGTATTTTTTTGAAGGCCTTCGATTCTCTTGTTGACCGACGCGAGCCTTGCGAGCACTACGACAGACTTTCGCAAAATGGTTTGATTTTCCACAGTTCAGACAAGATTTTCCTTTCGCGGGACAAATATTGTTGTTATGAGGCCAGGGCCCCCCACAATTCCGACACTCTGATGAGATGTAAAAGTCTTGGCGGTGAAACGATGTATGTTGTTTATCACGATGGTTGTTATATTTCGTTGTAGGATGGACAGCTTCAACTACTTCGTCAGAAATATGTGTTGAGTCAAGTGCGTTTTCAATGCCTGTTGCCTGCGATTCACTGAGTTCAAAAGCTCTGCCTTTTGCGAGAATCTTGGCTAGCGTAACTTCCGAGTCAAGCAGGGCGTAGCGTCGTAGACGTTTCGATAAACAGTTTTGAATTATGGCCGATTTTACTTCCTTGTCGATATTTTCGAAGTCACAGGTTGCCGCGAGCTTCCTAAGACGAGTTGAAAACTGGTCGATTGTTTCATGTGGTTGTTGTTTGGCTTCACGACATGTTTACCTCGTCGCCAATGTAATGTTCGTGGTTTTGTATCAATATCAAGCACTTTTAAGTATAACAATAGATATCAAACAACTTGTACAAACAGCATAGTACGTATCCAATTACTTCCCGGTTCCCTAGCCTCGTGCTTCTAAAAATACTTAACTAACTTTCTAGTCACGTGTGTGCTAGTGTCAATAATGTCAACATTGCAAATGTCACACACACAGGTCACACTGGCTGCGGTAACAGTACAGCATTCTTCGTGACACCATTGTTTGCGTTGTGAACAAGTCATCCAATCCTCGCCAGGCATTGACTTTCACCAACATTTACCGCAAAGTGATAAATTTTGTAGCCTACCATTGACTCGGCGATTTAATACATCCTTTGGTACCCCGTAGGCGGTTGCAGCTTTCGTATTGACAGCTCTTTCTTCTCAACTGCAGAGATGGCAAGACGGATTTAATCCTCATTCCAGTTTGCATGCACGTTGAATTTTGTGTACATAGTTCCTGACCACCCTAAATAAAATAAAAGTTAGTTTGCTCTGTGACATGGACTAAGCTGTTTATAGCATAAAATATATGACATATGAACTTATGACAAATTATAGAATGAAAGTACATGTTGATTCAATCAGAAATATAAACCCTTTTAACTTTCCCAAACAGGGGAAGGTGGTATTAAATCAGTAATTGAGGACTTCAATATAACACAGAGAGTACTGGTAATAATCCAAGATAGTATTTATATCATATATTGACAAATGACAATATTAAAGCAAGGCACAGTAAAAGTTGAAATGAACAGCATCACACTGAACAAATATATATTACTTGGTTTAGACTCAGCTGTCTCATTTTGCCTCAATGTTATGAGTTCAAGTCAGTCAAATAAACACGTCAAAAATAAAATTTTAGATGAAAATTGACAAAAATACCACGTGTGACTTGAAAGACCATGTTATAAACTCCATCAAACAAATAGGTTTTATTCGACACATGCAATGTTCTAGAAATAACAATCGGTTAGCCAAAATACCTAAGTAATAACGTACCTTTAATTGCCGATCGATCATCCAAATTGGTTTAAAAAATCGTTATTTCCTCGTTGATGCAGTGCAAATAAAACACTGTTTCGACGAAGTACACAAGTAAAAATGTTTGTTATGAGCCTGCAATGATTGTGGTATAAATAATTAAATAGAACGTCATATAAGCGCAAATGAGTCGGAGTGTCTCATTTAGCCCCACTGTCTCATTTTGCCCCGTAATACTCAAATTCTTTCAACATTCTAAATGAAGAAGAATGTCTCAATACGCCGAAAAAAGTTTTTAATTTGACGCGAAATTTCCCGAGTTATGATGCACAATTTAACACATATTTGATCGCCGTTTTCGGGGTCAAATTTCAGTGTCAATGACGTCCAGACACAAATTCGTCATAACTCAAAAAAAAAGAAAAAATTAGAAATTTTAATGTTAGTTTCATACCTTTTAGGACAAAGGTAGTTCATGATAAAAATATAAAGCAAATCTAATATTCAACCTGAAACGCTCTGCATGGTTCTTAGTGAGATAGCCAGTTAAGTTCTCTATTGTTTATAAACAACTTCCTCATTCTCTGTACCTGCGAATAGCCTCACCAGCACATTCATAACCATAATACCCTGCTCCAATGTCAACCACCATTACATAGTGGTGGGAATAGGAATCTGGACCACAAATCACAATGTTTTTAAATGCATCTTTATAAAATGACTTAAGCAAAGGAATTGATTCGTAGAATGGAAAATGGTAAACAATAATTAATAAGATATCTTCAAAGTAGTTCTTTAGACATTCACCAGATTTTGTGTCATTAGGATTATGGTACTTGACTTGACTGGTGACTCCAACGGATAATGAATTTACATCAGCTACAAAAGGGTAAATGAAAAATAGAAATTGACACATATTTGTTGGGGAACACGGAGCAAGTTCCAATCATACAAGAATACCGAAGTTTTCCTATAGAGCGAGCGGAGGTGCTTTGGAATATGTGATTGTACCCCATTCAATTTCATTGCGCGTATTGAATTCTCAACTTCTTCATTCATTTTATACATTTAATTTGGTCAAAATCAAACGTGCAAATGGAAACATGCATATGTCAGCACAATATTATTCACCCAAACCTTACACAGAAAATCTTGCTTTTTGATGCACGTATTTTTCTTCTTACTGCACCGATAAGTGTAGTGGACGGTGAGAATTTAGTGACGATCGAACTTCATCGCCAATTATATGTTTTTAACTGTTAATGGATTTTGGTAATGAAGATAACTGGAGTTTGTTGAAACAATATTTAGAATATAGTATGGTTTATGGAGCTCGCCATGCATGCTAAACGTTTTCAAATAGGCAAAAATTATTTGTTCAAATGTTCGAAAATTGAATCAATATTTAATTCAGAAAGGTAGCAATACAGTCGAACCTCTATTAAGCGGCCCTCCGTTGAGCAGCCACCCTTTATTAAACGGCCAGATAGCGAAGTCCCGAAATTTTTGTAATACAAATACTATAAACTACCCCTCTATTAAACGGCCACCTCTATTAAGCGGCCGCGGCCACCCAAAGAGCGGTCCGAAAATTAATGATGTTATATGTCAATTTTTACCTCTATTAAGCGGCTAGTCTGCAGGATTTACTTGGCGCAACACTTTGTCAAGACAGCCGCAAATAAAAGTCGAGCTAATTTGCTTTACTTTTAAAATAATGCATGAAATTATGTTTTAACACATGCCACTTTACACCCCAAAAGCATTGTGTTTAGTATTTTGTGATTTATAATTAAAAATAGACATTTGACTGTGGCCAGGGTCTATTTATATTTGCGTACCTCTATTTGGCGGCCACCTCTATTAAGCGGCCACAGAGCCGATCCCCGAGAGAGGCTGCTTAATAGAGATTCGACTGCATGTAATTTCGTGCACCTTTGTGAATCGGATCGCATTTGCAGGCCATCGTTGATCACAATTCTACGAAAAGGCGTCATTTAAAAGCTAAAATGCCGTTGTATAGGTCTGGAAAATTACATTTAGAAAATTAATGCTTAATTATTAATTGGCCTGATAGTTAGATCACGGTTACTTTATAATACACCTTGGAAACTTAATTTATAATATGTTACCTTTTATTTTCTGTTTCAGAATGAAGAGAAATGAACAAACAGCTATTACCAACAGAAAGATAAATACTAGAAATAATTTCTTATTAATGGATATATGCTTGCCACCATCTGGACCCATCTTCATTCTACAAAGATAGTATGATGGAAGCTATTATCATTTCTTTGTTATTTGTAATGTGAATTTTTATCTTGCTACGTGTTAATTAAATACAGTTTACATCACGTAATTAGTTCTAAGTAAAAAATCGTTGTGATTACTCCTACGTTTATTGTAAATGCCTCGAAGATTATTTCTATTTTAACAGGTGTGATAACAGAACTCGTAATAATTATCAATTAAGCTCTTATCAATAAGTATAGGTAATCATGCGATGGCGAATACAATTAGGGATTAACAGTACGAGTGATGTTTGGAAATTTTGCCAAAATTGAACGAGCCGCCGGGGCGAGTACTATTAACCCCTAATTGTACGAGCAACGTCGCATGATTACTTGTTTATTATTAGTATGACAAAATTGGATACTCCTCAATGTCAACATTATATATCCTCTCGCCAAAGTCCAATCCTGCCAGACATTCAACCAAAATTTGGTGCTTTTGTTCGTATTTTCATTTAGTTCTTTTGTTAAAGCAAATTTTGGTGCTTTTGTTCGTATTTTCATCTAGTTCCTCTAGGAAAATTTCATTTCACATTTGTGTTTTAAATACCTTTCCGCCATTTTGTTTGTTTTGGGAAAATCATTAATTGTACTGCAGTACAATTAATGAAATAATTGTACTCCTCTCAACCAATCAGCATCCAGTAGTTTTGTCATGCTAATAATAAGCATAAAAACACTTACATGTACCACTCCTTAATTAAGCAGGTTTATGGCGATTGATGAGCAAAGTGCCTCAACTAGGGGGCTGCCATGATTCCAGTTCAGGGACGGATCTAGACTGGTAACGAAAGTGGTCACGTGACTAAGGTAAAAATTGCCCAGATATAATATATGCAGAAAACTGTCTACTAGTCCAGTTAAAATATTTCACACAGCGGCAGTGGTCAGCAAATTAATTTAATATTCAAAAATACTCCTGTTACATATCTTATGCAGCGTTCAAGCCAGCGTAAAAAATAGTCGAGCAAAGCGGTTATCTGCGTGAGTTTTGCCTAATCTGAGGCAGATTATAGCCAATTGATTGGTTCATTTGCGTTTTGACTAATCTTTATGGGGGTCTGAATGTATTATAAATTTATAATTATATAATTATATAATTATATTAAGCATAATAAGCTATATATTTCAGCTGAACCGTTTTATTATAATTTGTTGTCTAATTTGCATTATCCAAGGATTTCCTGAATGTATTTTTATCTAAGGCAGGGGCGGATCCAGCGTTTTGCATGGCAGGTTTACTACCTCCACACAAATTTTTTTTTAAATTCGGGCCTCTGAAACAGCATTTCCTGCGTTCTGGCGTCACCTTTTAAATTAATTTAATGGTTAGAAAATACATGTTTTTAAGAGATTTTGGAGTAATTTGGACTAATAAGCGCAGCTCAAACAATGAATTGAACCTTTTCGGGAACTTATTAGCTAGTGATAAAAATATGGGATTGGCAAATTGCTGAGGCATCGATATTTATTATAAGTATAACAAGTAGAGATGCTTTTAATATAAACATAGTTATAAATTCAGATCTATACGCTTTCAAACCAACCGCTTTAACAATGAAATAGAAACTAAACTGCAAGAGCGTGAAAGCTTGACAATTATCTCCTGATTCTCTATTGCGAACGCAATGATTCGGTCACGCAATATTATATTTATACATATATTTCGCGCTATCATGAGTGTAGACTGTGTAGAAGTTAATACACGTATAAAGATTGATGCGCTTGTTGACGGATCGATATTTATTATACAGTAAGTAGAAATAGCTTACAGTTATAACTTTAGACTATAAACTTTTAAACAAACCTTCAAAATGAACAAGAAATCCATGTAAATGCTTCTATCGCCAACGCAATGATTCAGTCACGCAAAATTATAAACGAATGGCGCATCGACAGGTTTTCTCTCATTGAGAAACTCTGACCACCTGGTTTACTCATAATTGCGGGCGGTTATGTGTGACTCATGCGATGTCCACGACCCACGACGATACATTAGCAGATTATTTGTCTAGTATTACAACATTTCGTAAGAGGAAACCAACGCGATATATAAGTCCTTAATTAATTAAATGCTTATTATGTAAGTTGGTCTAAATACCTTCGGTAATCCAGTATCAAATTTCAATAACAGTATTTAAATGGCGTAATAGATCAGTCAACATCAAGTTTATGAAACAGAATATTCTTTAAATTAGTTATATATGTAGATGGAAGGTTATAGATTTTATTTCTTTGGAAAATCTGACAGGTTTATATAAACCTGTCAAACCTGACAGGTTTATATAAACCTGAATCCGCCCCTGTAAGGGATGGACCATTAGATATTTGAGGGGAGGTTGGGCAATTTTTCTGTGCGCGAATTTTTTTTCATCCCCCAATTGCTGCAATATTCCTTTGCACGATATATTTTTTAAGATGATCTAAAAAAATTTTCCCGGAAATTTTTTTTCGATTGTCATAAAACACCGTTTTAGTGTTTTAGAATAATTACATTATGATTTTAAAAATCATCCCTAATTCTTGCTCGATTTTTTGGGGGATTTTTTTTGGATTTTTTTTATTTTTCTGTGCGCAATTTTTTTTTGGGATTTCCCCCCCCCCCTTCAAACATCTAATGGTCCGTCCCTAACGACCCAATTTGATACACAAATTTACAAATATTCTTGTTCAAAATCGATGTTTGAATCCTTGACCGCATGCAGTTTGGTGTATAAAAAAAAAACACTTGAAAAACACTTCGGTGAGTGGAGCTTCCTGAATAAATATTATTATTATTATTATTATAACATGATGTGATGTAATATGATATCTAGAAGCCTATGAATATTTGTGAAATATTGTGTCAAATATTATGCTGTTAATTAAATCAAGTAATGAACTTATACAAATTATCTTGTTCATGTCAATTTAGTATTGCAAATTTTGAAAAGCTGGCAGACCATTATTAGCCAGTATCCGAGAAACTACATGCATGTTGATGGAAAATTTGTCAGACCTAAGCGAAATTGTTATAATCCATACTTTGTGTTTCCCAGGCATGCTGATCAGGCATGATATGGGGGCAAACAGTCATTTTCCCGGCAAACCAAAAACAATGGCGTCCCTCCCCCCATCCTTAAATGTTTGACGAGGTCTCTCGTTCTTAAAAACAGTATTATTCATCGGAAACCTTTCTGCAAAGCCAAATAATAAATATGTCTTTTTGAATGGTTTGACATATAATTGGGCAGATTATTTTACGAGTTTCGAACGTATTTTTCCGAGCGCTGAAAGGGCAAGAAAAAATGGGAGAAACGAGTAAAATTATCGGCCGGATAAGGCAGGATTATATGTCTAACCATTTAATAGGATTTTTATTATATGACAAAGCTGAAAGGAAAGATTTCCATGTCTTTTTTGGAATGAGTTGCATGTATTTGCCATTATAAGAGGCAAATTATTTCAAACGAAACGAGAACAACAACAAGTTACAACTTGCATACTGAATTAGGAACAACCGTTTACACTAAAGTCATCATTCTTTAATCTGATTGGATAAAATATTACAAATACAAAAACCTGTACATCAAGTTTTCTAGTTTTCATCCAATTGCTTCAAAAAGACAAAAACAAGAAACTGTCCAACGAGAAAGCTTTGGCGTACGAGCCTAATATTTTGCGTCCATGCAAACGGTCCAATTATACTTCAATAATGTTCAAGTAAGTTGTCATGATTTTAGAAGGTCGAAACTGCTCGCAAGTTTGCTGTTTTACTCTTGCAGTTCTATAGACTTATTTTATTACTGTTTATGTGTTCGTAACATTATATTCGAGTCAGGAGTCGGCTGTGACCTATAGTGATTTTCTGTAGTGTGTTTGTCACAGTTGTTTATCACTCAAAAAAGTTCGATTTTTGCTTCGTCCTAACCAGGAAAAACATGTTTAGACCAGGGCAATACGGCTTTTTTACCGTGTAATGCGCTCTCAGATTTTTCGTGTTCCCATATCTTATCTGGTACGAGAAATATATGCATGCAACAACCCCTCGCCTATATTTCCCAAACATTGTTTCAACATGAAGTATTCGTTATTACGCCAATACTGAACGCAGGCTCGCGTTGCCCACGTCATATTAGTCATGGCAACACGAATTTTCTGTACAAACATGCAAAAATTAGATGAAACTTGAACACTTTTAAGTACAGAACTATCAATTTATAAAATATATAAAGTAGGCATATTATTTTGTTTCCTGCGGGCTTTATTTTAATGTAAAATGTAAAACGAAATTCTACGTAAAACGTTTTTAAATGTGAATTGAAATTAACTGCTTTTTGCCGACATTAAACTTTTCAACCTGACCTTCAACTTATTACTCGCACTTTGAAATGAAATAAATTTAATTCGCACAGGACGCTAACGAAAATAATTTGCTTTCCTCTGGGAAAATCACGTCATTGTCATATAATAAACCGCCATATTCTCCAGGCAAGGACAAGAAAGATATACAAAAAAATATTCCTCGAAATTTTGTCAGTGAAATTTTGTCACTGGACGGTTCGCAATAAACGTAAGATAATGAAACTACAATTGTCTCGAATATGATAGCGTTCTGTCTTAAGAGGAAATCCGTTTGTAAACCGTGCAAGCGGGCTCTACAACACATGTCACGGATTTCGCTTAAACTTGGCACAAAGAAGGAGGTTTGATCACACTGATACTTTGAGTGGAATCTTGTCGATATGTTATGTTGACTAAGCGAAAAAATTTTATTGTAAGTCTTACGCCCGTATTCTAAAAGCTCACTCGCACTCAACACTCAATGAGAGGAGGTTCAATCTGAGCTTCTCTTGAGTATTGATCGATGCTGTTTTTGAATAGCTGCGGGACTAGTGTCATACCTAACTCGGTGCCTACTCAACCTGCAGCTATTCAATAACAGCATTGACACTCAAGAAAAGCTCAGATTGAACCTCCACGCATTGAGTGAGAGTGTGAGTGAACTTTTAGAATACGGGCGTAAGCCTTGTCGATTTCATTTACTTCCGTTCTTAAAATAGAGCGAATACTGAAGGTGACTTTATAACGATTCGCTCAATATTATTTGCCGTGATCGAGTTTATCTTACACCTTGAGATGTCCTCTATCGTCTATATGTCGACATTGAAAAATACAATATCGCTAAAAACTATCTGCTGCTGAACAGGTCAATATACTGTAAGCAACCTCGAGAATCACTCGCACCACCAAAATACGGCGGCTTTGCTAAGATATCTAATGCCATTTAAAACAATGGCAAAGATAGCCCTTTACGCTGGGTTTGGAAGAAAAAAGAAGTTGCACGCAGTGCAATATTTTGATCAATCAAAGATGGCTGTCCACGACATGGAAGCAATGTTATTGTGAAAGAATCGGATTCTAAAACAAGCAAATATATTAAAATTAAAAATTTAATTGTCATATATATTTACACTGTTGCTTTGCAAGTTGTTAGAACACATGACGGATTATAAATACGTATTACCAAGGAATTTGCATCGATAAACGCATAAACACGTAGCATGGAAGAAAGCCAAGTCCAGAATGTCACCTTCACAGCTTGTCGTTGTCTAGCCTGCGTAGCAGTCGCTTTATTTTATTGTAGGTTTTGAGGATTTTTGAATAAATGGCGGGTTAGAAAAAATGGGTGAAGAGAAAACGGGCGAGAAAAAACGGGCGAAGGAAAAGGGCGAAGGAAAAATAAAGCGCCTGCAACCGTCCTTAATAAAAATTAATTCACCGTTCAGATTCTGAACGGAAAATACTGATTGGTCAAAATCTGGCTCAAGGTGTTCTCGCTTCCAGTCCATGCATTTTGAATAATACAAATGCCAAATGGCGACGACAAAAGATTGTTTATTGAACGAAGCGCTGTATCGAATTCTTTAAAAATACTGGTAAAAGGCTAACCTTGAAAGATGAACAAAGGGGTCCCAGAGATATTCTCAACGACTTTGCCATTCTCGACACAACGTTAAACTAAGCATTATCACGTCTGTCAAGCGACGTGAAAGCTTATCTGACCCAAGAGGTGTTACTTAATGTCGAAATTACAGCAAACATTCCATCGCTTTAGCCGAGCTTAGTAGGCCGTAGGATGAAGGCCTAAATTGAGCTTAGAAAACCAATGTCATTACAAGCTTCGAGGGAGATAATAATTTTTACATAGATAGAAAGAGGATGCCTTACTTAATAAGAATCCACTTCCCCCCAAGCGAAATAGTTGCACAAATGAGAATAAATCGCCTTCAAAGTTCACGCTCCCTCGTGCTTTCAAATTCACGAGCGGCCATTGTTTTCGTTGCCAGTACGCATGCGTGTGACGAAACAACACTAAATGCGCATGCGCAGATAAGCTAAGACAGAAATTCAATATGGCTGATGCAACACCGCGGAAAAACGTCTGTGCATGCGTCAACCTTACCTGTAATAGTATTGCGAACTTGATGAGAAGCTGTTCCGAACGTTTCCGAAGGCTCAAAATGGCGGCAAAAAGGAGTGACTTCATTGGGCGTCTTTACAGCCAGATTTCGAGCGCAAAAATAAACATGTCATTCTAAAAACTAGGAATAAATACAGCCAGAAGGTTCAAGAAATTGTATTGTACAAGAACATGAACTAAAGGTGATTGTTGACAAATTTATCGTCTGAAACATTTTGTTTATCAACTAAGCAACGACAATTTCCAAATTTTCGTTTGAGATACATTTCTTTAAAAAAAACTGCGTCGCCAAATATAAAAAATTTTCGTGTTCACAATAATTAAACTTTAGGATTTATTCTACAATATGAGTGGGTTAAGAAGCTTAACTTTTCGAGAGTTTTCTTAACTTTTGAGTTTGAATTCTTGTTTTGAATAATTTTGCAAAAATTTTCGAAATCGTCAAATCATCAAGTTTTAAAATCAACAAATTTTTACATGAATTATATTTCATTCCATACTTTAAATGCCAGGACGCTTTCAATTAATGTCTAGTCTACCCATTTGCTATATTTTATCGTTTGTTTTACTAATTTTTGACCAATTAATAAGCATGTTTTTGTTTTAGAAATTGATATTTAAATTCCCCGCCATATTTTCATAATTTGGTGCATGCGCAGACGTTTTTCCGCGGTGTTGGCTGATGCAAATGAGATCTCTCATGCCCGAATTAGTTCATGTTTTATGCATTTTGAAGGGGTGACCGAGCAACTTTGCCAAGTCTCTCGTCAAAGGCTAAAGAAATTTATTGAATGTAGACATAATGGGCTAAACTTGATTGTGTACAAGCTGATATAGCGAAGGGTTCGTATAATAAGTTCGATGACGACTTCGTAAATACGTATTTGGCCGAGAACACCGAAAGCAGCTTTGCTCTCAAATGGCACCACCATATGAGATGTTACAAGAAATTTTGCGACGAAGAGAAGATCCGAAGACAAGAGAGAAGTGAGGAAAAGCGAGCAAAACAAATTACAGAAACTTTTGTTTGTTTTTCTTTTGGAATTGGATCAAAAAGGTGGTTGCAGGTATTCAGATCCTGGAATGCTGTGAAATGGCCCTGCTGACCTGTTGGGACATTATATTGGGTGAACATCAAATGGTGTGTGGAGTGAAATGAAATGAAATTTCGATTCAATGTGACTGATAGAGTTGGAATGGTGTGGATACTGATGATTCTAATGAATTATCTTAGATAATCCTAGATAATACCAACATCTTAGACCCATTTCGTTAACTCCTCTACTTTCTAAAGTCGCCGAGGAATTCGTGGTTATTAAGCATTTAAAACCCGCAATCCTTAAAGTTTTAGATGTAAATCAATATGGTGTTATTCCCGGCTCGTCCACAAACCAGGCGCTTATTAAAATGATTCATAAATGGTCGGAGAAAACAGACGGTGCTAGAGCCTCAGTAAGGATTGTTTTGGTTGATTACCAAAAAGCTTTTGATTATGTAGACCACACCATCGTCCTATCTAAACTGAAATCCCTCGAAATCCCTGACTCCACTGTTAGTTGGATTGCAGATTTCCTGAATGACAGACAACAACGAACCAAATTGGGACACGACTGTTTTTTGGAGTGGGGGAATGTCCCAGCTGGTGTCCCTCAAGGAACCAAGCTGGGTCCGTGGTTATTTATATTGATGATAAACGATCTAAAAACACGTTGTTTAGACGAGGTAAAATTCGTAGACGATCTAACGATATATGAAACAGTAACCAGATTTGGTTCAAGTGATATCCAACATGCAGTGTCCGAAATTGAAGAGTGGTCCGAGTCAAACCTTTTCAGATTG